TCAGCAGGAGCAGCAGCAGACGTATTTGGGCTGGGGCAGGGAGAGTGCTTCGGCCTGTTTAGCTTGCTGTAGCTAAGGGGTTGAGTAAGCCCTGCGTGGATTTGGGGGCTATTATATGTCCCCTCTGCCAGCAAACTGGGGAGGGCAGCTCACTGGTTAACTGCTGCCAGAAGGGCATGAAAGGCGTGCAAGCACGGCTGCCAAAAAAACCATACCAGCTGGGTGCGGGGTGAATTACCTGCTGCAACAAAAGGCCTGATCTGTGTTGATCATCACAGGAGAGGCTGAAGTGACTCCATTTAGGAGCATCCTAAATGCTCCTAGTTTAGGAGCATCTATCTAGGGAGTTAAAACTGAGGGCTCTGCAGGTTGGAAAATACCGATATAATGAGATAAAACAAAGGGGGAGCAGCAGCGTAACATGTTTGGACCAGACATAAAGTGCAGGTTTTTTGTAAGAAGGTAACTGATCACCAGGAGGAAAATACCCTACTGAGGGATGTGGGAGTTTTTACATCACTGGCATTTAAGTCCAGGTTGATGGTGTTTCTCCTGGGTTCAGGGAGGCCCATGGATGATGGAGATGGTACCCAGCTGGCTGTGCAGTCCAGGACAGTGGTTCTCCCTTGCCTCGTGTATCTTAAAAGCCACCCCACATCACCCTCCGTTGAATGAAATATGCTGCAGCTTCCTCAGTGATAAATATTGGCAGCCGGGGGCTCTGTGACGCAAGGTGTCAGGGAAAGCAGATGGGATCACAGAGGTGATGCGGGGATCCCAGCCCGGGGTTACCGTTGCAGGATTCCCAAGCAAAACTGATGTGGCACAAGCAATTTATGCCGACGCAAGAGTTTCTGCTGGGTGTCTCTGGTGTATTTGGTTTCATTTTAGGTCATCTACAGTGGCCTTAACCACCTTGCCTGGCTCTGTCTTGGAGGTATGACAGTGAAAACATGAACCAGGTCTTGCATACCGTCTATGCTGTGCTAGGCTGCCCCATGGCCTGTGGGTTTAAGGGTTTCCCAGCAGTGGCACAGAGCTGGTTCACACATCCCTGATATTTTCACACATTTATGGTGTTCCTGCAAGTGGCTGTGGTGCAGGGTTGTGGCTGTTTCCAGCCCTATGGTGTTAATTTTCCATTGCTGGAAAAGAGGTGAAATGACCTAAAAGCTGAATATTTGAGTCTGGATTGATGGGGCACAGAGGGAAGCTGCTGGGCAGGACAGCGTAATGAGGAGGTGAAAGACATGAGTAGGGAAGGGATGAGCACACACTTTTGTGTGAAGGGCAAGAAAAGCATGGCAAGGAGCAGGGTCGAGGGTGGTGGGACAGAGTGAGGGGTCGTGGCGGGGCAGACAGGGCTGACTTTGGGAGAGGTGCAAGGAGAAGAGCAACAGTCACACAGGGATGTGGAGAGGGCAGAAGGTGGATGCTAGAAAAACTACAAGAGGAGACATGAAGAGAGATCGGGGCTGGGTAGAGGCTGGAGTTGTGTTTTAAACTGCTGGCACACTCCTCCAGGTATAATGCCGTGAAGTCTTTGAGTCATTGGAGGCTGCTCCTCTTGCCTCCTTGACAGTAAGCTCTCCCATTTGACCTGGGCTGGTTCCCACATGCCAGGATTGAGTTTATTTTTCCATCCCGCTGTAGCCAAGTTTGTAATTTAATAAACATCACCCCTCCGGCCCCGATCTCTGTCCCCTTTGTAAGCCAGAGGAACAGATGGGAGGGCAAAGGACCAGAAATGCCTGGAACTTCCCAAGGCTGGAAAGGAGAGAACTGGAGATTTTCAGATGAAAAGAAAAAAATTCATGCCTTTCTCAGCTCTGTCTTTGTTCCTTTGTGCCGTTCAGGCCTGATCCAAACACCTCACCCACATGAGAGGGAGCCTGTGAAGGTTGAGCATGCCTGGCTTTCACTAACTCCCCGCTCTTGGAGCAAGGCAGACTTTGCCTGCTTGTTTTTGAGCATTTGAGTTTAGGTTCGTCACAGAGCAGCGATAGTAAGCTGACAGCATCTGACAGGGTGCTGGAGGGGATGAGAGTCCATGGACACAGGGGCATTTGTTAATGAAAACAGCTGCAGCTCATGATGCAAAGCAAACAGCTTCTACATGGCTTCAATTCCAGCTTTGTCTCATCGTTGACCAGGGACCAGCCATGCTCTTGCACACTCAGCAGCAAAAGCCGATACCTGGAGAGCAGGCTGCGAAGGAACCTGGTGTTAAACAGGGGAATGAAGTGAGAAGAAGGTATTTTCTCATCCTGTAGTGGTTGTCCACATGAAGCTCTCCTGAGCCCCTTAACATGAGGAAGAAGAGTTAAACAGCTGTGGCAGGGCAGCCTGGGCAGGGCCGCTGGTGAACCCTGGCAGCGGACTTGCACGCTTGGTCTTTGCCCCGTTCTCTGAAGCATCTCACAGATTTCCATGGCTCCTCTCCTAACCAGCTCCACGTGGAGACCCAGCGTGAAAGGGAGACTGCCGGGACTGCCCTGCAGCCTGGCACGGGTCATGGTTTTGCTCCCATGCCACCAACGTCAGAATAACGTGAGGCTGGACCAAGCAAGGTGTGAAAAGCCCGAGGAGTGTGCACAAACCCCTCTCCCATTTGGTGTAGCTGAAACCTCGAACGGTGGAGAGATGGGACAGAGGAGGGCTGTTGAACCTCCCCACATCATTTGGCACAGTCTGAAGTGGGCAATATGGCCCGTCCCTTTGTGAACACCTCTTTCAGTGGCACATATAAGGCTAATGGCATCCTCAAACCTTTTTAACAAGAATTGAGACAGTTCGGGTGGGTTTTTTTGTGTGATACAGCCACTGTTTTCTGCCTGCATGAGTAATTTCTGTTTGACTTGAAAAAAAAAAAAAGGGAAGAAAAACAGCCCTAAACTGAAAGCGTGGAGGGTCCTGCAGATACCGCTCAAGGAAAGGGAATAGCTTTTGCTATCATCTTTACAGTTGTCTGAATCACCTGCTGTTCTAATGACTAATTCATGACATCCTCGAGATGTTTGTGTCACATCTGGAAATTACAGTCATGCTGCGCCTACCTAAACAGAAGACACTCATATGTATGTTTGTGTATATATGTATATGTTTTTGACTTTTTTTCCCAGCTGTGACTCTCCCGTGCCTGTAGCTGGTAACAGCCATGTCAGCCCAAAAGGACAGATGGGTTTTTTCCTTCTCTTTCCTGCTTTTCTGTGCTTCCTCCATCCCGATGCGGGGAAGTGCGAGGCTGCTGCAGGAGCTGAGCCCCCAGGAGTATTTCAGTAGCTTGCAAGCCGGCAGAGCATCCCTGGCTTATTTCACCCGTAATGGTATGTATTTAACAGTATGCATTTACGTCAGCCTGGGTTTTCAGCCAAGGCTCGTGTGAGGGTGTGTGTGAAAGTGGAACAATGAAGAGACAATTCTTGAGATTTTTAAACCCAAAGGGATTTTGAAGAGCTGGTCGAGCTCAGCTGGCAAATCTGTCTTTGCACAGCCCTGAGGGCTCCTGACAGGCAAGGACATCTTGGGGTGGGACCTTTCCTGGCTGGTGTCCCCAAGCACACTCCTTCAAGCCTCTTCATTAATTTTCTGGATTATTTTCTGGACGTACCGTGGAAGAGAAACCCAGCCTGGTGAGGAGTTGTCTCCTCAAAGGGGCTGGGTTTCTCTTCCAAGGTATCTCCCTGGGAAAGGGGGGGTCCCTTGCATACAGGGGAACTAAGGGCTGAGAAAAATTACAGGGAGATCCTTGGCCTTGCCTTTCTTGTTCTGCTCCTTCGTGACCCCCAGGAATGGTTTCCCAGAGACATCGGCGACTTGTGAGACACCAACACAACTCCCACGTCAGCACTGAGAGGCTGGGTGTGTTAGAAAGGAAAGTGGGGAGTCTGTGGGCATCTGTGTTGTTGCCCATAGTTAGTTTTGTTTCAGTAAATACCTTTTTCAGTAAGACCAAGACCATATTGTGTCAAGCACTGTCTCAGTGCGTGGCAGGAGGATGCTTTTGTCTCTGAGGACTTGCAGCCCAGCCCAGTAGCACCCATCTGACAAAACCAGTCCCAGTCCCTCTGCCTTCCCCAGCCAGCTCCCAGCACCTCCACCGGCAGCACACCACGGCTCCCTGTTTGCCCTGCTCAGGTCTGCTCAGATGTCCCGGGGATGTTTGCACGGGACCTTAGCATGCTGTTGCCATGCCAGAGCACAGACAGTGCTTGCCCTGAAGGTACTCTCATCTGCCTCATCCGTGAGGAGAAGGGATGGAAACCAGGGGTTTTTTTGTGTTTCAGTTTCTCCTGGTGCCCAGCCCTTCTTGGAGCAGATTGAGAACTCGGCCGAGGCCCTCCAGGACTATGGCATTTCAGTGGTGAAGGTAAATGGGGAGGAGGAGTGGGACAGGTTGTTACTGCAGATTATTTCTGCAGGGCTTCCTGCGGAGTGGACAGAGCTTCTCTCCACCCACCTTGGGGACTGACAGCAGTGGGACCCCACAAGAAAGCAGGTGTTGGCAGACCAGGGCATCCCATTTTATCCCTTGCCCTGGCTTTACATCTACTGCTTGTGGGTTGTGTTACACCTTCTGCCTGCGGGACACGGGCAGGTTCCTGTGTCCCAGAGAGGCTCGGTGTCATGCCTGTTTCTCCAAACACAGAGAGCGAAGCAGAGGACTGGCAACCCTGAGCTGCTCCTGGCCTCCCAGTTCAGTCTCAGTAGATGAACCTGTGCACTTTGATTTGCATTCATGGATTGAGGGAACATTCAGCTACTCACATTTTCCTTGCAGATTGGTCTTTTTCATGGGCCACCCCACGTACCATGCTTAGCTGGCTGATCTAATCTGGCCTCCCAGCAGCTGCATGGGGTGCGTGGGGTTGCCTGGTCGTTGCTGTGCGCCCATGGGCATGGCACAAGGAAGAGTACGATCCCCAGTGTGCTGCACTGGAGACGACCAGCCCGCTCGTCTCACTCAGGAGGTGGGACTTGCCCGACTCCTTCCACGGCTCCCTCCTGCCAGCTCAAACAGCGAAGAATGATGGATGGGGTCGGTTCAATTCTTTTCAATTCAGTGCAATAAGTATTTCATATAAAGGGGTTTTTAGCTGAAACTTTATGCAGATTTAGGTGAGGGAATTACAAATTCAGGGAAGTGTAATTAGATTACAAGAAGTGCTTATGTATATGTGTGTATGTATTTAATTTCCTCCAGATACAGGCTGAGTTTAATAAGCAAGCATCGATCTGTCACTTTGAATATGCCGGGCAGATCATAAGATCTCTTGATCACGTCTGACCCAATTCAAGGCAAGCTGAGCTGGAGAACTGAAGTACAAACTCCAGTCCCCAGCTCTGGGCTTCATTTTATTGTATTTTCTCTCCCAGCAGGTTTGGAAAGGCTGTATTTACACCCTTGAATGGAAGAAAGCTCTAGTGCTGTATCTTTGTAGTCATTTGTGGAGCTGAATGTCTAATTACATGCTTTCAATGTCTAGGTTAATTGTCCCAAAGAGGATGTCTCAAGATACTGTGGAAAAGAGAATGCATTAAGGAAAGCCTACCTGTTCAGGTAAGGGGGATTTTCTGGGCACCACACTGTGATTGCTTTCCAGTGCAAATGTTTGGAGGAAACGCTGTCAGCAATCGGAAGGATGTCTGCGTAGGAAGAGAAGAGCCATGAGGTCAGCAGTGACATACAGAGTTTAGCGAAAATTATCCCCAAAAGGTCCAACACACGTAAAGTAGATGCTTTGTCCTCACTGTGAAACCTCCCATCCTGCCCCACGTTCCTTTGAGCAGCAGGGCTGTGCTGCTACATGAAACCATGAGAGAAATCCTCCATCAGTGTTCTTCTGTCCTTGTGGCCTCCCACCACCAGGTTCCCCAGAGTTACACTCAGTCGACTAGGTTTGGATCTAGTCCTAGAATGAAACACTCTTTGGTGCTCTTCCTATTGGTGTGGTTAGCTCATCTGCCCTGGATGAGAAGCTCTTGGTCTCTCCATGGGTTGTCAGCTGGAAGCTTCTCCATGTATCAGCTCAGTTCTCATTGACTGTTGTCCGTGACCCACAGAAACATTTCCTCTGGTGGTGAGGGTCTGTAGGGTGATGCTTGGTATATAAAGACCTTCTGTCAGTCTGTGCTAGGCTTCTCATCAACAGTCCCCAGAAGCTGAATGAAAAGGCAGCGACAGAGGTGACTTCACTAAAACAGCATTGCCTGGACACCTGGTCCTATGAAATCCCCAAATTCAATCTTGACATTTTCTTTCCATCCATACCTGCCAGCAGATATCTGGAAGTATTCAGCAGAGTGAAAATTAATTTAGTACATGTAGCTAATCTTTCATAGTTTCTTTGGTGATACTCTTTCTTCCCTCCCCAGAGGTAACATGCTGATCAGAGAGTTCCCCACCGATGCCTTGTTTGACGTGAACTCCATTGTTGCTAATGTTTTGTTGTAAGTACAGACCAGATTCATCTCCGTGAAATCATTTACTTTCTGTTTTCATTTGTTGATATAAAGTTTTGCATAAATACAAACCCCACATATTCCAGAGGCTGATCTCAGCCAAGCAGAAGGCTACTTCTCTCTTTGGTATGGTTTCACCCTGTTAAATCTATGTCCTTGAGATGACTCACCAACACACATCTGGGCAGTTGTATTTGGCTGTGAATCTTCAATCTGCCAGCCAGAAGCTGGAATTTTACCTTGCTTTTCCCATCACAGTTATGTGAGTGCAAACTTACTCTTGAAAGAAAGCAGTTGCTAATGACTTTTTTCTGACTCCTCAGTGCCCTGCTCTTTAATGAAGTTAAATATGTTGAAACACTGGCAGATCTTCAGAGCATTGAAAATGCGTTGAAAGGGAGGTCGAACATGGTCTTTGCCTATGTACCAGCTACTGGGACAGCAGGTATTAACACTCAGCTTTTCATCTTTGCTCTCCTCCCAGAGCCTTTTTTACTACGGTGCAAGGGAACTGGGTTTCTGACCCAAAATCCTGCAAATGGAGGATCAAGGAAACCCGAAAGGGCCACCTAATCACAAGTTCTCCACCTCTGTCTATCTTGCTGTGTTTCCAAAGGGATCAGCTGCACCAGAAAAGTTTTGCTGGGAGCACACAAACTTTCAGAGATGGACTTGAGAGGGAGAGCAAGCCAGTGGTTACTGTTTTAATAAATAAATAAACCCATTGGCAGTATGGTTATGCAGTAGAATGGGTTCACTTACACCACCTGTGTGTTTACTGGGGATCAGCAACTGGGTTCAGCTCCAGTTGCTCAGTTACCTTCATAGTGTGTCTTTCGACAGCTGTGACTTTTTCCTGAGAGTTTCTGAAAGCCTGAGCCTTGATGTTTACAACTGGGAAAGACGGAGAGAGAGATCTGGAGGGAGCTGAGATGAGTTGGTTTTGCCTTTCTCTTTCCAGAGCACAGAGCTGTGATGGAGGCAGCTTTTGTCTATGGGACCGTCCACCAGTTTGTTCTGACAACGGAGGCAACGCTGTTGAAAGACACTGGGTATGGCCAAACACGTGCACACACACACCATGGAGAGCTGCTCCCCTGCACTTTTTGCTCTCCTCTTGGTTTCTCAGAATCCCAGGTCAAACCTGGGATGGTATTAGGATGTTATGTCAGGGGTGGACGGTCAGATCTGTTTTGCTTTTCCAAAACCAGCTACTGCTTGTGTTCCTGCACTTGGACTAGCCATGCCATTTGTGACTGTTCATTGAATGGGATTTCATAGAAGAGCCCACTGTCTCCTTTCCATAGCTGACTGATCAAACCTCAGCCATGGGTTTTCAGGGGGGCTGATATAGCTGATGTTACAGTCTTAAAACACTCAGCCTTGTGCTTTTCTGAGCAAGTCTGGCCAGCTGAGAAGGGTAAGAACTGCTATAGTGGGTTGCAGCAAAGCCCACCCAGCTCCATGTCTTGTTTCTGCAGTGGCCATAGGTGCTTACCAAGGGGTTGAAGGAGTGGATGTGTGTTGCCTGCAGCCTCCCATCTTCTGGCAGTCAGAGGTTTCAGGACTCTCAGAGATGGCAGCTGAACCTGTATCATGGTGTTAACAGCCACCAGATTTTTTTAAATGCATTTTTACTTTTCATCTCCGCAACTTCTGGCAGCAGTGAGTTCTGCAGTTCAGCTGCATGAGACACTGCTCTCTGGAGTGTTGCATTTGGGACTTCCCACCCGATGGCTTCACTGGAGCTGGCCAGCTTAGGCAATCTCCTTCCCACGCAGGAGGAGCTGCATTAGAAGGGCAGATCCTTCAACGCGACTTGCTGCTGATGTGACCTACTGCAGTCAGGAAACTGAGAGGGAGGAAGGTGGGAATATCACACAGCATGTTGCATCTTCAGCAAAGTGTTTATACAACGATTTGCCTGCTTTCACAGGTGACACCAGGACAGGCAGCAAAGCTGTCCTTCCCAAGGTGTCATCCCGTCCTTGCAGGATCATGATCAGGGGTAGCATTTTGTGGCTGCCACTAGATGGCACGGTTGTCATTTGGACAGGAATTGGCTTCATTCTGCTTTAAGCAGAGAGGACACCAGCAGGCCATCTCCTTAGCTGATGAAATGGTGGTAGCTTCACCAACATGAATAGTTTTCAGGCAACCAGGGTGGCAGGCTTTGAGGTCTTAATACTACACTCTGCTCTTCCACGGAGAGGTTTTAAAACTCTTTACAAATAAGGTGATCCCTATTTTAAATAAGGTGATCCCTATTTTAGAGGTGGGGAATGGGTGCATAAGAAAAGAAATGTGACCTCCCAAAGCTGACGTACAGGCTAACACCAGTGATGGTGTCAGAGCAGGAACCACTAACCAGGGAACCATCCAGGGAACTTGATCTCACTGCTTCCTTTGGTGCTGCCAAAACCAATGCTGTTCAAAAGGTGGAATATTCCTTATACAGTCTGTAAGATGTCATCAGTAAGGTAAAAGACATGAGGAAAGCTGTACTTCAGCTGTACTTCCTCCTCTGGCCAGGGTCTCCACTGCAGTGGCATGGCTGGTCCTACTGAGAAAAGCTTCATTTGTGTCCTTCTTGAGCCAAATGTTCTGGGATTGAGGTCACTTACACCCAGTGAGCCAGGGTTTTTATTAGATGTTCAGCACAATTCTGAAAAGCGCCCGGACACAATTGTACCTATCAGTAGTAGGGCTCCTGAAGAGGTCCCACAAGCCTGCGAAACCCTGAACTTGAGGATCATCTGCCCTGTAAAATGTGTCAGCAAACATGGTCATTCTGTCAGGGCGTTTTAAAACCTGGCAGTGGATGCATGGTTTTTGTTTTTGTCTCTCACAGCAATGATAAGTCTGATGTGTCATCTGCTCGTCTGTTCTTCTGCCACTGCCAGCGGGCCACAGACTTGGGGCAGCCCTGCAGGAGGACAGCCATGGGGCAGACTCTGACGATGCTCAACATCCACAGGCACCTCAAGCTCATGGGGGCTCCTCTGGTGGTATGACTGGGGAAGAGGAGCCCCTTGGGCTGTGCAGTGCGAGGACAGCTGGGTTGGGTGTGCGGATGAAGGAGGTGTGAGCGGAGGGCAATGTTGAGCATGAGAATCTGCCCCTTCCCCATAAGATAATGACAAAGCTCCCAGGTTGGGTCCAAGCAAGGAACAGGCATGGGGCTGGACAGAAGCAACACTCCATTGCACTGCGCAGCTTGCTTAGACCTTTCCAGGGAGCCCTGGCACCAGTGTATGCTCCTCTAATTGTCTGTAAACACCGTGAGTGGGAATGGGGTGGAGGTGCCCCTTGGACTTCACTGGGACATATAGAATAGAATAGAACAGAACTGAATAGTTCAGTTGGAAGGGACCTACAACGATCATCTAGCCCAACTGCCTGACCACTTCAGGGCTGACCAAAAGTTAAAGCAAATTATTAAGGGCATTGTCCAAATGCCTCTTAAACACTGACAGGCTTGGGGCATCGACCACCTCTCTAGGAAGCCTGTTCCAGTGTTTGACCACTCTCTCAGTAAAGAAATGCTTCCTAATGTCCAGTCTAAACCTCCCCTGCTGCAGCTTTGAACCATTCCCATTCTGTCCCTGGATACCAAGGAGAAGAGATCAGCACCTCCCTCTCCACATCCTCTCCTCAGAAATCTGTAGAGCCATGAGGTCGCCCCTCAGCCTCCCTTTCTCCAAACTAGACAAACCCAAAGTCCTTAGCCACTCCTCTAGGCTCCCCACAGGAGGCTCAGCACCCTGGGGAGTTCGATATCAGTCATTCATGCCTTGGTGAGCGCAAGGGGCAGGAGGCTCCCTCCTATCTCCTCTTCCCACCGGGCAGTGAACTTCAGCAAGCCTCCAGTTTCCACTGGTGACATCTCTGCCCAGCCAAAAGGATGGGCAGATGAGCTGGGAAGTGCCTCCTTCAGCCAGCCTCCTGGGTTAGGCATGTGGAGGAAAGACACTTCGTTAAGCAGCTCCGTGCTGTCATGAAGCAGCATGTCCAAGGCAGGAAGGGAGAGGATGCCAGCTCTTGCATGTTGTGGCCGGGGTTTTCAAACTGCTCTGGGGAATGGATGACAGGTAAATAAAAATTAATGGAGATTTGACATCTGGCGTTGCTAAGTCACAAAGAACATGCTTAATAAAGCCCAGGTTTTTAACAGGGAGGGTCATGACAGGTTGGAACAGTTTAACCGGGGTTGTGTGGGTTCAGCTTCAATGGATGTTTTAGAATCGGGGTTGGAGGCTTTTTCTCGAGGCTATCCTTATTTCTGTGGCTGGGGAACACATGGGGGCTTGGGCTGTGCAGGAGAAGAGCTGAGGTACCTTCAACAGTGTGAAGATGTGCTGCAGTATAACCATGTCTCTTCTCCAGACAGAGGTTGCTGAGGACCCAGAGAAGGTTTCCACCGTTCACTTGCAGCTTGGGCTACCACTTGTGTTCATCCTTAGCCAGAAAGAGACTTACGAGGCTGACAGGAGGACAGCAGAGTTTGTGGCCTGGCAGCTCTTGGGGAAAGCAGGAGTTGCCCTTTTGTCCAGGTATTTGCTCTCAGGTGTTTTGGGGGTCTCCTTGCTTTTTGTGGTGTTTCAGAGCTCGGTTACCCCACCATCAGGATGATAGTCAGTGGGCTTATTGAGATTTGTATGAGAGGCAGTAAAACTAGGTTATATCCTGCAAGAGGATGTCACATTTAAGGACTTCTCCAGAATCAGATTAGGATGGTTTCAGACTGGCTGAAAGAGCAGAAATGTTTGAGTCTCTTGCTGATTTAGAAGTGGAAAAACAGTCAGACTCAGAGAGATTTTGGAGAGGAAACTTAGCACAGATGGAAGGCTTGTATTTTGTCCTCAAATTAAGGGCAGAAGGAGATCCAGTAAAGGAGGTGGACTGTGGGCGCTGGGTGCTGGGATGTGGCAGGGATCTCTGCTCAGTAAGTGGTGCCTCCTCAGTTAACGAGGGCTCTCTGAGTTAGACCTTGTTCCCCAGGAGGACAGGAGACACACTCGTGGCTGGCTATAGGGCAGCGGTGCTGTGGAGATCTTTTGGCTTCCTCTGCGGTTGACTACTGGTTGCTTATCTCTGCTCCATGGGCTCAGGAGTAGCCTGCGTACACCAGACTGGCTTGTGTTTGCAAATGCTTCCATGATGTCTTGCCAAAGAAGGTGTAGCCCTGTAGGCATGGTTGTACGGCCTTTGGGGATGTCTGCTGGCAGCCGTGAAAATGGGAGGAGATGGAGGAAGGATGGGTGTGGGCTCTCTTCTTCCAGCTTTCTGCCACCGTGGTACCTCCCTGTATGGAGGCACTTCTTCACTGTATTTACTCATGAACTGAAGTCCACCAGCAGATCAGCTGCACTGGGATGTGGCTACCAGTGCGTGGGCAAAGACCCAAATCACAGAAAGGGAATCCAAGCCCCTTGCAAAATAGGCATTTTATGCTGCACAAGTGGTGTCAGTCCCACCAGAAGGTCACTTGGAGCCTATTTCTCCACCACTGATGCTGATTCTGGGTTCCTGCAAGTTCTCTGGGGTACTGAAGCACAACTCTATGAGGACGTGGTACTGCTGAAAGAGGTGGGCTTGCCAGCCAGGCAGGCTGAATGGAGGGGGTGACCTTGCACATCACACCATTTAATGTTCACTTTGTGTTTTGGAAGGGACCTCGTAGATTTGAACGTTCTGCTCCGGTCAAACGTCGCTCTCAAGACACCAGATGAGGTTAGATGCTGGATTTCTTTATTGTCCTATAACTTATTTTCCTATCTAGGCATGGTGCTCTTGAGAGGTGTTGGGGTGTTTCTCGCCTCCGTTGTTATCTGGCAGCCTTCCCAGAATTTTTTTTTCCTAGATGCATGCATGTATTTGGAACTGCCTGAGTTTTGTACTGCAGAGCAATTGTGCCTGCTTACAGGAGACAAAAGAAAGTGTTTATTTTGGGTTCAAAACATAGGGTGACATCTCCATTACACCTTAAGGCAACGCAAGGTTGTGAACTACCTAAGGTAGTAGTCCAAGTGCAAGTTCCCAAGAGATGTGGATTTCTAAAGGCCCTTGGCGCCTTAGGAAAGGCATTCAAAAGATGGGAGAGGAAATGAGTGTGAACCTAAGACCAAACTAAGAGCAAACAACCAAAGGTCTGTGCTGAACTGATGTAACCGAATGCCTCTGGCAGTGATCTGGGAAAAGGGCAGGGTGTAAGTTAAATGAGGTTGATGAAGATGAGCTAAACTCTGGAGGGACCTGACCCAGCTTGTGAGGCAAGATGGAATTCAGTGCCGACAAATGCCAGGGAGCACACTTTGCCCCAGATTACCTGAACTGTCTGTCGCACTTGTGATTGCAAAGATACAGGATCAGACCTGAAACTGAGTGTCCCCTGAGGGCTTCCTCTGCCCTGGTGAGAGATGTGTATGTTGTGTTTCTCCTCTTAGAGCCAATGGGAGGTGCCAGCAGTTTGTCGTTTCTCTCAGTTCATTATAAAATTCATTTTCTCTGAAGTGCCTTTCGCTGAGACAGTGCCAGAACTGGTTTTAAGCTGACAAGGTCTCATTTCTGAGAAATACATTTTGCTCTTTTCTTTCCATGGGTTGGCAGCCCATGTACGCTCAGGAGCACTCTTCTTTGTTGAGCTCCATGAAACAAAGGATTTTTTGGGCCAGTTTCCCGGGCTGTGATGGGCTGCTCTGACCCAGCGTCACCCCTCTGGAGAGGGACAGCCAAGTGGACCTGCTCTCCTTCACTGGCCACAGGGCTTTTTCTCGCAGTGGTGGATCTATGTTAAGGTGCTGGGAGGTAGAGCGAGTGTTCACTTTCACCACAGGATCCCACATAGCCATAATTTCTTCCTGGCAAGGAAAAGTCGGTCTAGAGTGAGAAAAACTCAAGTGCAGGTGAAATTGGGTCAAAGAAACACACCCCAGAAGCTCCCCTGTTTGGCAGCTTTAGGAATCTGTTGACATACCCCAAAATAAGGAGTTGGGTGATGGTGCCCCATCAGCCTTGAGTTTGGTTTTTGGACGGAATAGGCAGAGGGTGATGTTTTGCTCCCACTGATTTATTCTGTTTTCTTTAGGGAGTGCCAATCAAATACCTGGTCTTGGAAGATACTGATGAAGTTATAACCCTGGTGGAAGATAAGAACAAGGTCGAACAAATCCAGGAGGATGAGGAGGAGGATGAGGAAGACGAGGATGAAAAAGAGAATAACAATCAAGGTGTGCAACTAAACAGTGAAAAGCTGATTGTCATCAGATACGACATGCAATCAGCATCTGCTAGAGACAGCAAGCATATGTTAGAGCATTAGAGAACACTTTTGCAAATCCAAGGCAGACCATCACAGTCACATCACGGTTGTACAAAGTGGCTCTTTTATTCTCTGCAGATCACTGGAGGTTTGTGACAGACAGGCATAATGTTTAGGGGAAACCCCAGGGAAGAAAATCAGCAGCTGTTAGAGGAACAGTTGCAGAGGTGCTGTATGAGGGAGAGGGGTGTTTCTGCTTGAATGCATCCAGCTTCAGAGACATGAGAGTTTAAAGTGCACCCAATGCTGTCTCCCTTTCAAGCATCAGATGAAGTCCTCAGAATTATCAGTCCCTTTGGGAAGGTTTGAGACATTTTTTTCTAAGAGCTGTTCCAGACTTGCCTTCCACAGGGAGAAAACACTGGTCTTTGCAATGCTTCCTTGAAAATGCATTTGTTTTCCATAGAAAGTTGGTTTTGTTTTTCAAAAAAAGTGGTGCAGGATCCTAGAGGAGCCAACATACTTCAAGAATAGTGTTCAAATCAGAGGGCACAACTTCTGTGAGACGGCGTAAGTGCATTTCAGTGAGTTTGGATGTATGTCTGTGCCTATGCCTCCACTCCCCCATACGAGGCAGTTAGTTACCCCCCTGCTGACAGTCACCGTGTCTCTGCTGAGAGGTGCTGGCTTACAAAAATGGGCTGATGGGGTGGCACAGAGGGTGGCAGTTCCCTCTGCCCTGTGTGCCTACCTGTGTTCATGCACGGCTCTGGGTCCCTTGCAGACATTCAGGATGATCAGGTGGTGGAAGCAGTTTCCAGGGACAAGAAGCGAGAGCTGCCCCTGGAACAGATCCTTGTTCTGACAGAGGAGACCTTCCACTCTGCCCTCCTGGAGACTGCCTGGACAGTGGTACTGTTTTATGCCAGCTGTGAGTATGAAATGTGGCCTGGCTGTCCCTTCTCTAAGCTTGTGCTGCTTACCGTGCTTTCTGTAATATGGTGATCCTGTAGACAAGTTTAAACAATAATTAAGTGCCGCATTCTGCCCCATGGGCCTCCACCCACCGTTAGCAATCAGATTAAATCAGTTGTCATTGACTGATACTGTGTGAAGACAGTATCTCTCAGTATAGAAGATATCAATGTTCATAGTTTTTAACCTTCATTTTACAGGGAATGTAGGACAAGAGGGGAAATTGTGGTAGCATGGGCTCTCGGGGTAGCCTAGACAACCCAGTTGCTGGCTGCTGCACAGAAGCATAAAGTCCAATTTTCCTTATTTCTTTCAAGTCTTTCAGAGCTTGAAGCACCTTAGGACGCAGAGAATTGTAACATGACATTGTTAGAGAGGAAGGTGGGGCTGGTCTGTCACCTGTATGTCTCTCAGGGCTGTGTCTGTCCTGTGTTTCAGGGGAGGCAGTGTCCCTGGCAGTGCTGCGGTCTTACACCGAGGTGGCCGATCACCTGAAAGGTAAGGTGCCACAGTCTGAGTGCTTTACAGCTGGCAGTAGGAACCAGAAGCCTGGGAGGATATTGATGGTCCCTCACTCCCTCATCCAGAATATACTCATTTTTTCCCCTCAAACTCTTAAGGAAGGCATACCCAGGTTGCTTAGGAAGAGTCCTTTGTTTCTTATTTAGGGACCTTTGTGGTCCATTTGTGCCTCTATAAAGTCATGGGGCTGGGAATGCAGCCTTCTGCAGTCGCCTTATATTGTTGGTGTAAATTGCTGCCCAAACTGCCTTGCAGCTGAGGTGGCGATGGTGGTGGGCAGTGACTGTGTGATGAATGATGGTGATGGTGGTGATGATGGTGATGGTGATGTTGGTGGGCACAGTGACTGCGTGATGAATGATGGTGATATTGGTGGGCACAGTGGCTGCGTGATGAATGATGGTGATGGTGGTAATGATGATGATGGTGATGTTGGTGGGCACAGTGGCTGCATGATGAATGATGGTGATGTTGGTGGGCACAATGACTGTGTGATGACTGCCCAAGAGCATGGGGAGGGCCAGGGCAGAGCACCAGCAGCAGTGGGTGACACAGGGTGGGCTTTGGAGCGAGGAGGGGCAAAGAGCAGGCACTGTAGCCTGCATCATGGAAACAGGGTCCTGTTTGTGCCCCTCCATGCTAGGTCCTGCACAGAGGAAGGGGATGCACTCATGCTGCGCAGCAAATCAATGTGCTGGGTGGCACGTCAGATCTCCTGTCCTTGGAAGTACTTGATCTGGAAAGGAGCAGTAGTTGGCCCTGGTTTTGGTGGAAAGCGTGACAGACAGGTGTGGGCAGGCCCAGATCCACCGGGGCAGGACGGTGTCAGAGGAAGAATTTACAATGATGGTGCCTTTAGGGCCTGGAGACCGCCTTAATTACATGGGAAGTCTCCCAGGCAGCCACAGAACTCCATAAATAACACGTGACGGTGAATAATCAGCAACACTTAAAGACAGCACACATCGGGTAGTCTGGTAGTAAAGGCAGGAGGGAGTGATCCTTCAAGAGGGTCTGAGCAGTTCCTGACCAGTGTGAGCCCCAGTTCAGCTTCATTCAGGTCTTCAGCCCCATCCCTCTCTACAGTTAGTGGAGAGAGGTGGATTCTTCTGCCCATCCATCATTCTTACATGGGCTGAATCTCTTCCAGAGATGCCTCTTTCTCCCCCTGGCTGCAGGGGACGCTCCGGTGGCTTCATCCCAACTCATTGCAGCACAGTGGGGAAGTTGCATGGATCTGGGTGAGAGCTGTTCTGGCACTCCTGGACGTGGCTAGTGCCTTCTCTTGGTTTTTCTTCTTCATCAAGGCTCATTTCTCCTAGTGATGGCACTCCCCTGGGACTGGGAACCGTGTCCTGCAGAGTGCAAGCAGGATTCAGGCTGAGCTCTCAGCAGTGGAGACATGTATAGAGTCTGCAGAGGACCCAGCGAGCTTTCTGGGAAGCCGATGCAGTGGGAGTTGCTTGCAAGAAACTCTCCTGGGAATGCTGTGGACAGTGCTGTGGTTTGGATGAGAGCGGTCTGTGTTCATAGTTTGCATGAAGGGAAAGTCACCACTAGCTTTGATCTGGACTGAAATCCCGGGAATAAACAGGAAAGCTCAGGGAGGGTTGTTTTTGTTAGAGATGTTATGGCTGTCGATGGTTTGGGGTTTCTTTTAGACTCCCCAGCAGTCAGACCAGCTAGAGGGAGCAACCTGGGAGAGTCAGTGGATGAAACCCTGCTTCTTCCTGAGCCAGTGGCCAAACCTTGGCTGATTCTGTGCGGCCAGGCTTTGTGTTTTTTAATCATTTGATAACAATCTCGGTACATGGAAGCAGCCACAGGCAGATTCTCAACAGAGATTATGAACTGATTGGGGTCAGGGCCTTTCCTCTGTGATCAGTGAGATCCCACCAAAGACTCTCAGGCCAGACGTGACCTGTGGAATGACTCCAGTCTGCTTTCCCTGCTGCGGCCTCAGAGAGGACGGAGAACGGCTGCGTTAGTGGATCTGGAGATCTTTGTCTCTGCTGCTGAGGGAGCCTCAGTCACAGGCAGGTTACCAGGGCAGGTGGAAGACCTAAAAGGATGGGGGTCCCTGGGCTCTCAGTTATGGCCAGGATGAGGGAAGATAACAGCAGTGCAAGGGACAGAAGTCTGGATCAGGAAGAAGATCTTGAGCTATGCAGGACTGAGAATAAAACATAGGGTATGGCTTTGGGGCGCTGGTATTCCTGTCTGCTCTCTGGGGTAGAGCTTTCTTCCTAAGGGCTGAGGAGACAAGACCAGCTGTCTGAGGCTGAATCACCCGCTCTAGAGGCACATTTTGAGTTGCAGAACCAGGTCCCAGTTTTGATGCCAATTCTTTGTGCGAAATGGCACTGAGGATAGGACATATGAGATCAAGCGCAAGGGAATGAAGGAGGTTGGAGACTGGAACGACCCTGTGAATCATCCAGTAACAAATGTTCAGCAGATCATCACAAAATTAAGTTTATAGCCCCCCAAGTGTTTTCCCTTTGTTGAGAGATACAATCTAGCAAGAGATAAAGAGAAGCATCTCTGTCTTGCTGAACTGAGCACATTTTCTGCTCTTGCAGCAAGAGCGTGCCATTCTCATTGCCTCTGGTGCCAGCTGCTGCCGCTCTTGTTTTCTTTTGCAAGATGTGAATTTATGGAAGCAGCACCCCTGGGACAGGAGAAGAGGATGTGAAGGTGAGACAGTGCTGAGCATTTCTTAGGTGTATCATTGGCCTTTTTTGTAAAGAAGAGAGGAAACCAATATCTAAGAAGAGCAATATACTGTGATGAAAAACAGTTCTGCTTCCCTCTTCTGTGCTTGTGGAGCCTTCTTGACCAATGACTTCCAAAGACAGGGATCTGAAGCTGTAGCTCAAAGGCATGAAAATCACCTGCATGATTTAGCAACGTATATTCATGGCGCCTAAATCTGAAGTAAGGATTTAGGAGTCCATTGCGTGATGCTGTCCGGCTAGTCATTTCCCATTCTGTATTGGATTCCTCTTCTTGAAGTGCAGCACTTCATACATAACTTACTTCTCTTTCATGTTGTAGCCTTTGGACCAACTCTTCAAATGAGCTGTTTCTAATGCCAGTCCTGCCCCCCAAAGGATTAGAAGTTTAAGGGTTTCTTGATTTTTCTTGTTCCCTATAGCATTGATGATTTGTCTTGTCCTGGTTTTATAAGACTCCTAGGACAGAGGTTCTTGCTGTTGCTGGTTTTAGTAGCACCTAAAATCACAGAACAGTAGGATCTCATGTTTCTCTTTCTCCTTTCTTCCCATCCAGCAGCTCAACAGTGACCACAGGGCTGAACAGTCTTGTTGCTGAGTTACTCAACTCCTGAAACTGCTGGTCGTTCAGTAATTAATAATATGGTGTGGATTGGGATGGGAGAGTGATCATCCTGTACAAGGTGTTCTTCAGGCCAGATGGGGCTCCTTTGGAGCAGGTGTGGATTGGGATGGGAGAGTGATCATCATGGGATGATCTGATCTTCAGGCCAGATGGGGCTCCTTTGGAGCACTTTTGGTACGTAATCCCCAAGGTAGTATCCAAATACTAAAACTCATATTGGAGGGACCTTAGAGCAGCCTTGCAATTCAATTTTAACAAGACATCAAAGCCTTATTTTCATGTCATTATTTTTCAGAGTTGGGCAAGACACAAGATTATGTGGTAACAGATGATGAGAACCAGCTATACTGGATCAGAGGTGTGAAATAAATCCAGGGGCAGGCTTTTAATTTGAGATGTTATTTCAGAACCTGGAGAATGACACAAACCATTTCTGCTCTCGTGGAGTGTTTTGACAACTCCTGACTGTCTGAGTGGAATTGCAGACCCTTAGCTCCGAGCTGCCGCTTGCTTTTTCTGTACATGAGTTTGACACAAGGCAGAACAGCAGCAAACTCCCTACATGAGCTGCAAAGCAGAGCCTGAAATGAGGGTTGCAGAAAATGGTCCAGTGGGATGCCAAGGACATAGGGATAGGGGATAGGAACACATGCTAAGGTCACTTCTGCCTTCACCCTTGTCTGTGGAGATGCCCATCCCTGGCAGGCACGTTTCTAACGTGTGATTAAAACCCTTCCACAGCTTCTCTGCCAAAAAGACTCAGCTGTGCTTGGTTCTCAGTAGCTTGTTTTAATATTTGGTCAAACCTCCCTACCTGGGAATGGGTTGTTGCTTGTCCTGGCCCAGCTGGCAACAGAGAGTGATCTCACTGTCACCTCCAGAGCAGCCTTTACGTATTGTTAGATTTTATTGTTTCTTTCTTCCAGACAATTTCCAATCAAAAGAAACACTGTTCTTTGGGGTTTTCCTCAGGAGACATGTCTTCCAAACTTCTCCAGATTCTCTCTCATCTGCTTAAGCCTTTCCAAAGGCTTGTTTCCCAGCCTGACTTGCTGGGCTCTGTAGAGTTCTCACAGGGACAGAAGTGCATAATTTTCCTCCCATGTCTTGCACACAATGTTGAGAGTTCATCCCAGAATGAGCTTTGCCCTTTTCTGCAGCACTGATGATATCTGTGCGTCCTGCTTCTCATTACAGAATGCTGCTGCTGTTACACTTTGCCCTTCAAATTGCTTTCTGCCCCTCTGGGCTTGGGATCATTTGCAGATTGGATGTGTGTGTTTTGTTCCATCAGCCAGGCCTTTAATGAAAATAGTGATCAGAATCAAACCCAGGACAAACAGAGAAGAAACCTTGGCTCTTTTGATCTGCCGTACTCTTGAGAAATCCTCATCACCTGCCCTGACCCTGGTTTCTGAAGGACACTTTGCAATGGTCTGCCTCCATGTGTGTACTTGTCTCTAGGTTTCATCCCATCTTTCCCATGTAACTCTTGAATCCTGTTCAAACAAATTTAGGGAAGGCATGAAGTTTTTTTTTGGCATGGACAACGTATGGCCTGAGGACTGTACACAGCCCTGCTGTCCTTGGTCAAGCCTGCAAGTAGGTAGGAGGCAGGTTAGGCGAGGCTTGCAACCAAGGATGATGGCGAAGCCAGTGATGGTTCACCTGCCAGCTGGTTAGCACAGGCTTAGCCGTGGACCAGCAGTAGCATGTGCTGGTCTTTGCCCAACCTGCAGACTGATAAGGACATGCTGGAGCTGCAGGCACTGTGTCTTGGACTCATGGAGAACATGCAGGGAACCAACCTTCATTTGTTTCACTGCTTATGAATCCCGTGAGTTTACTGCTTTGGTGAGACCCGTAAAAAGCTTTTTTAGTACCAGGAACCAAAGTTGGACTGACTGCTCTAATTCCCAAGTGCTCTTCCTTTCCCTCTTCCTTACCTGTGAGACCTCAGGCTCTTCCTTAAGGTCCTAAAGGTACCTGCTAGTGGCTTGGAGATGAGCAGCTTGCGTAGGTAGGATAGGGTGGATGCCATCAGACTGCCAGCCTCTATTACACCTGTCCTGTTTATGTGACCTTTAACTGCTCCTTGTGTATTGGGCTCCATGCTTTAGGTAGAACAGACACTTTTCAATACTGGGCACCTTAATAAATGAAAAAGCCTTGAGTGCATCAGCCTCTTCCATGCCAAGCTTTATCTTCCCTTTTTCTTGTAAGTGAGGGCCTGCATTGTTTCTTTGTCTTGGCCTTATTCCTAAGGTATTTCTAGTACCTTTCCTTATGGCCTTTTATGCTCCTGGACAGTTGCCTCAGTGTTTCGTGGTGTTCCTTTGAGTAACCAGCCAGATGTGAATGTCTCTGGGAATTTCCTTCTGAGAAGTGCAACCTACCGCTTCCCTGAGTTTATTCTCTCCGTGTTCTGTTGTTTGGATCAATCCGCACCTTGCTGGGGTATTTAATACATTCGCAGGCTGGAAATAGTTACTATTATGCTCAAGAGTGTAAGGCATATCCATGAATGATTTCAAGAGGGAGATAGCCTGTACTCAAAGGGATTGTGTATTCAGGGCTGAATTTTTACATCCTGCCCACACAAAACAGCATTTGACTCCAGGAGTGGTCCAGCAACTTCTCAGTGGTAGCCCACCTAGGCTCGCTCCATGTGCATACAGTGTGTTAGGATCCAGCCCTCTAGGATGCACGCCAAAGCAAATAGGAGTTCTGGCAGCATTAATACAAATATATGCGATAAAATCCAAAGAAGCTTACAAAAAGCTCTCTTTTTCAACCATTTCTCTCTTTTTTTTTTTTTTTTAATATTATTTATACGTATTTGTTTTCCACTCTAGGAACTCAGGGGGTTTTGCTCTCTCGGGTAAACTGCTGGGACTGGCCTGGCCTTTGCACAAAGGAGAATGTCACTCAGTTTCCTACCATCAAGATTTACGAGAAGGGAGAACGATCAGTGATGTACAATGGCATGTGGGGAACCGAAGAACTGACCAGCTTCATCATGCTGTAAGTGTCTGTTAATGAGTCCCCACACAGTAAGATTGGCACATCTGCTAGATGATGTTCTGGATACTTCACAGCTTGTGTAATGGAAATCCTTTCTGGAAAAATAATGTCAGATCTGATTGTAGACCTGGTTTGGAAATTAGCTTAATGTTTTTTTGTGCTTTTCAATGTCAGGGAAAATCTGTTCTTGGACAGTGCATCCATCTGTTGTCACTGTCCCTCTCTCTTTGCTGAAGTTCCTTCTCTTTTATTTTAATGGGGAACCCAAGAATCTTAGAACAACCAGTTTGGCTCAGGGCTGTTCTCTCTTCTCTATAACCAGCTCCAGTGCCTTTCTGTGACTAGGCGTTGTCGTTCCTTCCCAGGCGACTGATTTTTGTCTCTAAGGAGGCATAACTGTTTTCATATTGGGTTGGGGCATTGTTGGATTGAGGTTGCCCTTTTGTCTCTTCATCGCAAAAGTGACGAAGAAGGCAGCCCATGTTGTTTCTCTTCCTTTCCGTAGGAGCCGAGTTTCCTGCCCTCTGAAGCTGGCCACAATTGATGAAGCAGAAGGATATTTAAGAGGAGAGTTTCCATCTGAGTTGTCATCCTATCACCACACTTTGCTTCTAGGAGTATTTAGCACAGCCACGAGTGAAGGTTAGTGTGGTATTTGTGGGTTAAGCACTCAGGTTAAACATTCATTCCTGATGGGAGAGGAATGATTCTAGGTGCTTGGAAGTTCCTCCGTGTTTCATTTTCTCTAAGCATGTTTGCTCACATCATAGCCTGCCTGCCTCCACCCTTTTTATTTTTGCAAGAAGAAGATAGCAAGTGATTCCAGATGTGGGACCTAAGGTTCATATCCTGGCTCACAGGACATTCAGCTGCCAGGCATGTTTACTACACCCAACGTGGTAGCATCTGACAATCCCGACAGAGATTGAGACATGGTGCTTGGCGCAGTACAAAATAACAGTGCCCTGGGTGACTTGTCTCTGCAAAGAAATTTTTGCAGATGTCCAATCTGAACTTAACCAAGCCACGATTTGTGCCTGTTGTCCCTGTTGTATCTTCTGCCCCTTACCATGAGGAGTTTGGCTCTGTCCTCTTTAAGAGTCCCTTTCAAAGTAGTTGTAGGCTGCCATTAAATCCCCTCTTAGCCTCTGACTGAACAAGCCCAGATCCATCAGCCTCTTCAACACGTCACAACATACTCTTTCTTAAAGAAAGCCCTTTCCACTATTGGATTGATAGTTGTCTTGCTGACTCCTCCTCCTGCAAATGTGGTAGTCCCAGTCCTTGCAACCAACACACAATCCAAAACCTTTTTCTTTAAAAAAAAGCAAAGCAGCAATAAGGTAAAATACAAATTTCTTACATGAAAAGGAATGAAGTGTGAATGACTCAATGAAATCCACTTGTGAACTTTGAAATAGGTGGGCACTGTGCCCAGAGTGGTGGACGTCAGCTAGAAATGCTAAGCAAAGTTGCTGGAAGGAGTGTTCTGAACTGGTTTGAATTTGTCTCTGTAGTCTCAGTCAGTATAGTCCTGGCCAGTGGCTGAAACTTGGAGCAGTCATGCTCTCCCTCCCCTGCCCGCTGCCTAGGGTGCTGTTAGTCACTCAGATGCTGCTCCAGTGTCATTCGTTGCATGCCATAGCTGTGGTCCAGGATCCACTGGGTTTCCACAGCCTTTTTGAAAGATGGGAAAATTGACCCGAGAGCTACAGTGATTTTTCGTGTGACAATCGTAGACGTTAACAAGGGAGAGAGAATAAAGTCAGTCTGGAAAGGGAACATCGTGTCATGCTTCGGTCAAATCCTCAGTGGAGAGCTAGGACCTTCCAACCCCACGGTCTCTCAGTCACCAACTACCCCTGGGAATTACTGCATTAAAAAAAAAAAGAATTTTCTGATCTGCCTTCAGATCAAAATTTCAGACTATTTTTCATTTTGAAGCTCCGTTGTGCCTGTAAACTTTGGTTAAATGCAAACCAAGCTACTTTCTCACGTGAGGAGGTCCAGAGGGAATCCACTGTGCTCAGAGGTAAGAACAAAATAAAATGTCTGGAACCAACCAGAAATCACTTGGGCTGTATTCACCGAGCCAGCTGACAGCTAATATGCCTGCCTTCTTCTGGAGGGTCTAAGTCTGTTAAATATAGCAGAAAATCTTACTGATCTCAAAAAACCTTTAGCCCATTTTTGCCTGGTTTTCATCAGCTAAGCTCCAAAATCTCCCCTCTATTCCATATATTCCACACTCTGCAGTAGTGGAGCCTGGATTAGCCCCATGATAGGACCTTGGGCAACATGGGATGGATGGTGAGAGGGGTTCATGGAAGGAACCTGCCTGGATCCAGCTGGACGTGTGAGCTCAGACCCTTTCCTATATAGGAGAAGTTAATTTCCTTCCGTGCAAACAAGAGTCTTGGAGGTTTCCAGACGGCTCTGTGCAGAGCGCGCAAGATTGCCTCTTTCCTCGGGGCACACTCAGTCTGCAATCTGGAATGGCATCCGCAGTCTGGGATAACTCAGCTGCAGATGCCAAGGGAGATGAAATACATGATGCTTTCGCTGCCTGTAGCCTGAGGGGTGTTTGAGCGTCATGCAGAAAGACCTGAGGGAGCAGAAAACTGGAGCCAGCTGTTCTGGCACCAAACCCAGGCCAGAGTCAGGGAAACCACATTGCTGCTCTTATCAGCCTGCAGACTTATCTGGAATTTCCAATGATTTTCTCACGGCAATTCCTGCTCTAACCTGAACCAGCAACGCACCGTGTCATTGCCATTTCTAGTTAACTGAAATAGAGCAACGAAATGCCAGTTAAATACAGCCCTGGATTTTTTCCAACATTTGGCATCAGAACTATGTTAAGAAGCCCTTCAGTGGGTCTGAGCTAAAAGAGGCTTTGTCCGAAAAATCATAATTAAAATTTATTACAAAGAAATGAGTGATATTACTAGGGCAATGAACGAGCATTTTCCTGGAAACTTGGAGAATTTATAGGAGAGAAATTCGTTTGCTATGCAGAAACTGGAAGCAAAACTCTGTCCTACACTGTGCAGCAAATGTTTAAAAAATATACCTGTGTTCTGCAAAGCTCTGGTAACGTCGTAGGGCTTGCCAACATCGGTGTAAACCAAGTGAAGAAGGCATGCAAAGATGCTACAGGTGCTGCTAGAGAGCATGGTTTCATGAGATGCCTTGTGCCAGAGGGATAAGGGGTTGTGCTCAGATCCTGCGTCCAGAAACTCTGCAGGAGCTGTAGACCCTTTGTCATCTGGCAGTTTTATTCCCTCTTGTTCGCAAATCCTGCGGTGAAGCTGGGTTTGGGAATTCACGGCAGCTGTCATGGAAGGCAGCTGGGATTCCAGCTCGAGGCATGTACCGCAGTGCATGATCAAGCATTGTGGGGAATTAAAACCATGCTTTCGAGGGGGACTAATTTTCTAGGAAATATTTAAATAGCTTCTTTGGAAGTGCTTCATGTCAGTAGCGGAGCTGTGTGAATTTGGGTGTTTCTCGCACAGAGCTAAGAGACCATCGCTGTGAGCTGTTGAGAAGTGAAGGCTGGTGCATGGCTCTGGGTCTGGCACAGTCCCCAAAATACAGAAAAATTTGGAAGTGTGATAGGGAGGGAAGATCTCATCAGGAATGAGCCTGATGAAAGGACTAAGCCTGGACTCTCCTGAAGGTTGTCCTGATTTAGGAGAGAATTCCTGCAGCCAGGGATGCTGCAGGGCAGCACTTCAGCACGGGTGTATGTCTCAAGTGAGGGCTTAAAGTTAAATGCCTGTAGAATTGCTCTCCTGAGGAAGTTTGGATGTAAGCCTGCTCTTTCCAGGTTGGGCTGTGTCCTTTAGTGCCCTATGGCACAGGGCGGGCTAATGGTCTGCCCCATGGCCTTTTCTCCAGTAGCTGGGACACGGACAATTTTGCAAGGGGTTTGTTGGTGAAGTTCTCAGAGATTCTTATCAGCGGGTCCTATGGGTTCCTTTTCTTTCGACACTGATAAAGTCAAGTGACCAAAGAGCTGAAAACCAACATCACACCCATCCAACGGTGGTTTCTCTGTATCACAAGATGAACCAGCCAAGCTGTGTCACCAGCTTTGTTGTACGTGTGTTGTCTCCTACAATGTCTGAACCCTCAATGAGCACTCCTTTAAGGATCCAAGCTTCCATTTGGAAAGGAAAATAGTGTAAAGAGAAGTTTGTGGCCCCTGTGGTTCCAGGGAAACACAATGGAAAATACGGCTTTGAGTATAGCTGGAAAACAGGAGGCAAAGAACCAAAAAGTGACCAGTTGTGAGCCAGCCTCAGTCTTTTGAGGTCTGAGTCACCGGTCCCAAGAGCTTGGGCTGGCCAGTTGTGATATGACGGTGAACATTATGAGGAACACTAAATAGTATCTGAATGAGATCTTATTTAAATTATAAAACAACATGTATCATGGCTGTATCTGAGATGTAACCTTAACTCTTGGGAAAACCTGA